TCTCTCTCTCTCTCTCTCTCTCTCTCTCTCTCTCTCTCTCTCTCTCTCTCTCTCTCTCTCTCTCTCTCTCTCTCTCTCTCTCTCTCTCTAACAAAACAAACATCTGGGCCTTAAAGAAAGAAAAAAATCCAGTAATCTGGTTATATCTGGGCATTCTCCTGGGGATGTACCGCTCACCCATCAGCCATGAACACCCCCCAGTCTACCTACTCTCACAGAAATCATTGCTCACAGAAGTTGGTGGCTCAGCACTTGCTTCATTACTTGGAAGAAAACAGGGATAGCTTTCTCCCCCAGCAGAAAAGAGAAGGAAAAAAAAGTATATTTCCTCTCACCAGAAATTGGCTGCTCCCTGACTGAGAAAAGGAGACAGTTCCCTCTCCAGCAGCTGAGGGAACTTGGGATGCACTCCATCGCCAAACATTTGCCACACATCCTCAAATGGAAGCCTGCAATAAGGACGACATCACAAACATTTGAAAAGAAAATTAGCATATAATCATATACTATAATGCCATGTTTGTAAGGACTATGAGAATAAAACCCATGTGGATGAATAGTACATCCATGAACTGTTGATAGACAGACCAGCATTTGAATTGTGGTGCAATAAGATGATCTCTGAATTCCTTGGGGCCGATGACAATCCTCGTGGTCATTGCCCTTTCCAAAAAATAAAGCAGGAGTAACATTAAATGACCAAATTCACTCTATTAAACCGCCAGTACCTCCGAGCCTCTTATTCCCATCGCAGATTCGCACTGCACGCAAATGAAAAACAAACCACCACCAGCACACTCTTCTTCTTTTTCGGCTAGTGCCATCGGCCATTTTGGCCCAGTAACATTGTTCATCCAAAGAACCTGGATCGACACATTCTTTATTCTCTCAAGTTCTCCTCGGCGAGGTACTCATGATTTGAGCTGTATTAAACATACTCTGTGGAAGGCTAGCGCAGTCGGCCATTTTGGCCCCGTAGCACTGTTCTGAAGAACCTGGATTGACACACCTTCGATTCTCAAGTTCTCCTGGGCGACAGGACAACATTGATTACTTCCTGAAGGAAGGATGTACCATCCCTTTCCCCTGCCTAAGTCAGCCTGTTCTACTTTTTTGCTGTCCTGAGTTACTGGTCTGGCTTCCCGCCAGAAAGGGGAGGACCGTGGGTGAGTATTTGTTGTAATCCTCTCTGACTTGCCGGGGGAATAGGAACCGGACTGACGCTCCCCAGAATGGATATGGAGCCAGAACCATAAGATTCTGTTTTATATATACTTTCCACAGGGCACGACCGTCACAGAAAAGTCCCTGACAATGCAAATTGGAACGCAGTTCTCAAAAGGCAGGTGGGGCACTTTGAAATTTCCGTCTCCTGCAGGCGGGAGGAAACGAACAGGGGAGGGTGGCTGTCGAGCATACCATTCTGACATCTGTTGGAATTTTTTTGAGCGCAGTTCTTTGAAAGTCTGTGTGGCGATGCAAAATTGTTGAAAACCTGGTTTTCGACAGCCTGTGTGGAGAGCCTCTTAATGTGGATTATCATTAACACTATCATCAGTTAGGCTCTGCAGACTCTAGAGGGTTAAACTCCTGATAAGTCGGTGAAACTCAAGACAAAAATGTCTGACGCAGCCCCGTTTCCTGTCCTTTTGTCCTTTTCTACCTTTGCTCATCTGTCTATCGAAGAGAACTACCGGAGAGGGTTGAGATTCCTGACAAGTCAGTGAAAGTCCAGACAAAAATGTCTGATGCAGCCCCGTTTCCCGTCCTTTTGTCCTTTTCTACCTTTACTCACCAGTCTATCGGAGAGAACTGCCGGTGAACCGCAAGGAAGACAGGTAGAAAAGGACAGAGCTGCTCATGCTGTTCTAAGAGAAACTTCGGGGACAAGTCCTGGGCCAGGCCCGGAACACGGCTTATTACCTCAGGTTGAGTACGAGAGCATGTGTTAACTACATCAAGTCAGTAGCCCATCCATTCCACATACATTCATGTTGAGGTGTGTGTGTGTGTGCACATGTGTGGCATTATTTGCTTGACAAATTTTCCCACTTGGACCATTGAGGCCTCAACTTGAGAGTTGTGATGAGTCATGAGTTCTTACCTCATTGTGGCCACCCTCTTCAATTCCAACAAATAGCTCTGTGCTGGATTCATGTCCACTGCAACAACCTGCTTCGCTCCCTGAGTCACAGCTCACCCCACCCCTGACAATACGTCAGCACGGGCAATCTATTATAAAGTCTTCCAGTGAGTTAGGTACAACATATAAGCAAAAAAAAATAAATTGCAGAGACATAATCATATAGAATATTATGGATACTTTGTCTGAAGACTCTGAAGTAATCCTTTTTTTAAATATATTCATGTGATCAACCAGAATATAGCAATGTACTGATATGAACCGTATAATGTCCACAGGTGACAAACTAGGCGGAGAAAATACGGATTCGGGGTTAGTTCACATAGCAAAACTCGGTCAAACCGTTTTTCGGCTATCAAAAGAATAGTCATTTTTCAAGATGATTTTGTTAAAAAAAAAAAAAAAAACTCATTCAAATACTCACTGTCGGGAATTGGACTGACAACCTACCGGTCAAGCGGACAACCTCACCACTAGAACAAGGGCCAGGTCCCATTTTTGTTATGTTAATGATTTGAAAAGCACGAACCTGGACGCGACAGCGGTCAGGTTCATCCTTTCATAGCATGAACATCTGGTGGGGGCATGGCGCTAACATACATAGCTTTCCTATTGGAATAGTTTGAGCCACCCTAGCATCTAATTCTCCATCCCAAGGGACGCTGGAGCCAATTTCCAGCATTGTTTTTTTTTCCCCCCCTATTGATCGAATTTGATTCTCCTATCCTATCGTGATCAGCCTAAAAACTGGGTAGTCCATCCCGTGACAAACCCCGCCACACACCCCACACGGCCGCCCATCATATCACAAGCCGGTGTAGCATCTTATACTCCATGACCTGGTCGAACCCCAGCCGCACCAGTTACCGTGCTAGTTAGTTCCTTGTGTAGCGAGATCGGGAATCGAGCTGATGACCTTCCATGGACCAGGAAGAGACACAAGCTACACAGCCACTCCTCACATCAAATGGAGCTACACACCGGTAACCATGCTGCCACAAAGACAGGTAAAGGAATGGTACACGCAGCACAATGATTTTACGCCTCCCTGTACAAAACCAAAACCCCCAATCCCATCCAACCACAGACCAAAAAAGCAAGGCAAAAGATGCTATCCTTCTGAAAACAGAAGAAAGGGA